AAAATAAAATAAAATAAAATATATATAATAAATTTAAAAATATATCAAAAATTAGTATAGCAATCGATAAAATAAAATAAATAAATTTGATCCAATAAAAAATTATGAGATAAAGTTAAAAACTTTTCAAAAGATCAGGCCGCCAAGAGCCATCGCTGATGTGGATGCAATGGTATGTACTGCCCTATGATTCCAGTTTGTAGGGATTTTTTTTTTTTAATCTTTGATATTCAATAATTTCATTAGATTTTAATTAATTTAAAATCAAATAACGTCAAATTTTATAAGAAAATTCTCTTTTAATATTTATTTTTTTATTTATTAGACTTAAATTTAAAACTTTATTGAAGAGAAACTAAATTCTTTTTAATCAAACGAATAGGTAATTGATTCTAGTTTGTAAGGATTAAAACAAGTATTTGTGGGATTAAAACAAGTACTAGTACTGCACCATGTCTTCAGGTTAGTTGAATTTAGTTGAGTTAATTTTTTACCTAGAATCACTACTAAAAATTTGACTTTTTTCAACCAATTATTTTTTAGTGCAATTTACGTTGAAAAATAATATATTATTTTTTAGTGTTAAGCATTGAAAATTAAAAATCTATATAAAATATCTAAAATTCATAAATAATTTTCGAGTGAAACTCATTTTCCAACACATTGCACTGAAAAATAATTTAGCACCATAATTTGGTTTGGCTATTCTTGTGCTGAAAAATAATGTTTTTAGTATTACTATTGACAAAAAAAATTTTCAAGAAATGAAAAAAATATTTTTCACATTTTTTTCAACACAAGGTGCTGGAAAATGTTTAGAATCGTAAAAGTTAAACAGTAAAAATGGGTGCAGTTTATTTTCTAGCGTCTTGCGCTGGAAAATACACCTTTGTATTTGGTTCAAGTTATTTTCTAGTGCATTAGTAGTGTTCATTTGGTTCAGATTGGTTCAGGGTATTTTCTAGCGCACTATGCTAGCAAATAGTAGTGCCCATTTGGTTCATATTATTTTCCAACGCATTGCGTTTGAAAATAGTCATGTGTATTTAGTTCATATTATTTTCCAGTGCACTACATGGAAAATAGTCCTATCCATTTTATCATATCATTTTCCAGCGCATTGTTTATCTGAAATTTAAAGTTCAACGTTCAAGCGCCATTTTCTCTTTGTAAAATCTTCAAAATTCCTCCCACATTATTTTCCAACGCAATGCACTAGAAAATAAGTTTATCTTAAATTTAAAATCCAACATTGAAGTGCCATTTTTTCCTTATAAAATTTTTAAAATCCCACTCACATTATTTTCCAGTGCAATGCATTGGAAAATAATACTTATCTATATAAAGTTATAAACCTTCCCTTAGCATTTTCTCCCATCTTCTTCTTTCTTCTCTTTCATTTTTCTCATTCTTTATCCGAATTCACTTTCTTTTTTCTCATCTCTTCCTTTACCCCACTCATATATTTCACTTTCTCACCTTAATCATCCCTTTCCTCTGCTCTCCATTTCCTCTTCCTTCTCCTTTTCAATTTCATCTTCATTTCTTCTACTTTCCTTTTTGCTTTCTTTTACTCTTTCCATTCCTTTCCCTTTAATATGTTACTTGAAATAAGAGGTACTATT